ATCCCTGTCTTGTGCCAAATTTTCAAAGGATTGCTCCCAGTTTTTATCCCATTCAATATGATATTGGCTGTGGGTTTGTCATAAATAGCTCTTATTATTTGTTGAGTCGTTCCATCATACCGAATTTATTGAGAGCTTTTAGCACGAAGGGCTGTTGAATTTTGTCAAAGACCTTTTCTTGCATCTATTGAGATTCCATGTGGTTTTTGTCTTTGGTTTTGTTTATATGCTGGATTACATTATTGATTTGCCTATGTTGAACCAGCCTTGCATCCCAGGGATGAAGCCCACTTGATCATGGTGGGTAAGCTGTTTAGATGTGCTGGCTGTTTTCGGTTTGCCAGTATTTTATTGAGGATTTTTGCATCGATGTTCATCAGGGGATATTGGTGTAAAATTGTCTCTTTTTTTGTTGTATCTCTGTCAGGCTTTGGTATTAGGATGATGCTGGTCTCGTAAAATGAGTTAGGGAGGATTCCCTCTTTTTCTATTGATTGGAATGTTTCAGAAGGAATGGTTACCAACTCCTCCTTGTACCTCTGGTAGAATTCGGCTGTGAATCCGTCTGGTCATGGACTTTTTTTGGTTGGTAGGCTATTAATTATTGCCTCAATTTCAGAGCCTGCTTATTGGTCTAGTTCTAGGGATTCAACTTCTTCCTGGTTTAGTCTTGGGAGAGTGTAAGTGTCCAGGAAATTATCATTTCTTCTAGGTTTTCTAGTTTATTTGCATAGAAGTGTTTATAGTATTCTCTGATGGTAGTTTGTATTTCTGTGGGTCGGTGGTGATATCCCCTTTATATTTTTTAATCTTAACTTTTTAACATTTTCCAACTAAATTCAGTGATTTGGAGCTTTAACTCATTATTGTAATTGTATTATTTCTTAAAAATGAAAGCAAACTCCTTTTCAGAAAAAACAAATGCATGATGGAACTTAAATGTAACAATTATTGGACTACACTATCATGATACATGAGATTATTTTTAAAATTCATAAATGACAGAATACAAAATATAAATTGAATTTCATAAATAGTTAAAAGCTTCTGATAAAGTTTCTGTTAGTAACATAGTTATATTACAAAATCTAAATTTTATAATTCCATTATTTGACCCAGCATAGAATAAGCTAAGGTAATGATTTCAATATTTATTTTAATTTAAAAACAATATGCAATGTTTGTAGTCACTGATCGAGAATGATAATTCAATTAATAAGTCTGCTTACGACATGAGGAATTCATTCATTTTTGTGATAAAAGAAAATGAATAGGCAAACTGTTGTATTTGATATGGTATTTGTATTCTACATTAAGTACTATCCTCAGTCATCCTAGCTAGTGTGTATGTCAGTTTTCTGTGCCTCAATTTCTTTATCTGCATAAAAAAGTGACTGGATGAGGGGAGCCCTAGTCCAATCATCGATTCTCCATTGATGAGTCTCTCAATCTAGGGCTACTTTAATTAAGACCGACTACTACTCTGGGAGAAGGTATTTCCTAATACATAATATCTTAATAATAAATTAATCAGTAAGACCAGTAGGTTTAAAATTTGTTGGATGGATATGATTGTAAGATATGAAAATCTGTTGTTCATTTCCTCATTCTTAATCCTATTTATTAATTTCTCTGCTTTAAAATATTTTATATGATTATATTTTTATTATATGATCAAATCAGAGGCACATATTCTACTCTTAATAAAACAGCCCAACAAATGAAAGTTTGTTAATTTTGTACTCCATGCATGTTTTTTCCAAACATGGTCTTCTTTCAGTCCTAGGTTTCAATAAATATTCCTTAAAATATGACAGTTTTATACTATGGCTTAAAGATGATAGAGAGCTCACAGAAGATTTGCATAATTGTGTTCCCTAGAAAAGATAATACTCAGAAAACGGAAATCAAATCAACATTTTGGTTTAACTTGTACCTGGAAGCCAGCAAAGCACTTTAAAAGTAAATCTAACTTTGCTGGTGTCTACTGAAAGCAGTAGAAACTATTGGATTTTTAATTTCTGGAAAGCTTAGGGGACCACATAGAGAGCACTCTTTTCTGAGCGCTCCCTGTCAGTTTCTTCCCAGAAGACAGACTTATTGACATTTTTATTATTGATTTATTTGGTATACATGCCTTTCATCTCCACATTTTTCTTCTCTTTCTCCCTCCCCCATTTCTATCTAGTATACAGTGTGGACTGCCCTCTGGGTCACCTGGAATGTGTTCATTATCTGCTTTTATTTGGAAGTAGGTGGACTCTCAAAGGTGAGTTTATCATGGTTTTAAAGTACACTTTAAAATGAGTACACTTCTAGGTATTGTGACTACATAGATATATTGGTATATAGATATATATATATATATATATACACAGAGAGAGAGAGTGTGTGTGTTTGTGTAGAATGATGAAATGCTATTCAAAAAAGACTTTAGGTATAGTGTAAGTGTGTGCATGTGTGTGTGTGTAGAATTATAAAATGCTACTCAAAAAAAGACTTTAGGTACCATTTAGGAAAGAATGATCTTAGGTGTATGTTAATATAATGGAACTTAGGAGTATGTTAATAAAATGGAACTTAGGAGTATGTTAATATAATGGCACTTCAAAACAACTGCCTTCTGGTTTAGTTTGTTATACTGAAGTGGGACTCAACTTCCTGTGTATCCTCATGTCCATTTTAAAAAGACATAATATAGTGACTTCAGGTCTAAATGTTAAGTAGAAAATGGTTTTGAACATGCTTGTGTTTTAAGTAGGAAAAGAGATTGACAAAGATGTTAACGTAACAGATATGAATGGCAAGTTTCTGTCTTTGCTAGAATATTAATAGTGGAAAAAACTGACAAAGAGCAAAACCCTTATATAGCATGTTTACTAAGAAGTAAATGCATCAGTGTGGTGATTCCTATTTTGAAATTTTAATCAAAGAGAAGACAGTTGTCTTAATGCGGCAATGATACACACGTTATTTCTGCCTGTCTAAAACTGTCAGCAAAGCACATGATTTTATTATGCCTCCTGCAAAAATGTCTCACCACCCAAATGTAAGAACAACTTGAGTTAAGTTTCTAGTTGTGTTTCTTAAACAGTTTTTGTGTGAACCAGCACAATTTTCACTATAGAGAAGAAGCTTAACAGTATGATTACAAAAAGTATAAAAAAGCTGTCATATTTTAAAACTTCTCATTATCAAATATATTTACGCTAACTTATTCTACTGTTTTATAACAGTCTCAGATTTTCTAAGTAATGTACTTGTGGCTTAGATTTTAGGAAATGTGTCTTGAGCAGCAAGGATGCTTTTAGAATTGTTGGGTTCCATTGAAGTCCTTGTGGTAACAAAACATGATTGATTCAGCCAAGCAGCAAAAACCCCTGAAGGATTTTTCCAGAGCCTCCAGAGGTGGTTACTCTTTTTTTTCTCCACTGTAATAACTGTAATTAGAACTAGTCACCATTTTCTCACATTGGCAAATGTATTCAGGAACCAGAAATAACGTTTCCAATATTGAGTTCCATATATTTGGACTCACATCTAACTTAAATAATTATGCTAGCGATTGTAGTGCACCACTAATTTCTAAGACATAAAAAAGTACTTAAATTAATGCCCAGTTATATTCTATAAATGCAGATTATGAAGTAAATAATTTTCAAATGCAAATCTTATGAATAAAATAATTACAAATAATATGTTAAGCACAACATTTTCAACCCATTGCATTTTGTATCTTGCTATTTGAATGGTCATTTTGATCATATTTTTTATTTCACTTGGTAGAAATTATTTTTTCTTCTATATACACTAATTTGGGGTAAATTAGACCAGAGAAATTTGTCCTACAAAATTGGCTTCACAGTATTTTGAAAGAAGGCCGAATTTTGAATCATAAGTCTTTAGTCCAAATCTTTTCTTTAGCACTTATTAACTGTGAAATCTGAGGCAAATCATTTGGCTCCATGGAATCTCTGTGAAAAATAATAAGATCAGCTTTGCCAATAATAATAGTAGTCAATGTTTATTATACACATGACATGCGGTAACTCAGGTAAGCTTTGAAACAAATCTGTGAAGTGACAGAACAAATAAGTAAGTATCTGCAGTCATTTTTTTCATGTAACTCTGATTTCCCACTGCTGCTCAAGGTTATTTTTGTGAATTTTTGTAACTACTTTTCTAATATCCATGTGCACGTCTAAAAGTTTTTATCTCATTTCTTTGGGCACAAGGTTGAAAACATGGACATAGTAGTCCTGGTTACTCATTTTATTTCCTATTTAAATGCCATTAAGCAGTCAACCAAGTATTCTAGGTCATTAAAAAGATAGATGACTCCAAAAGGAGCATCCTAAAGATTTTCTGTTGGTCTCCTATTTACTGCCTCAAAGACTGGTAACATCTCCCTTGTTAGTCACAGTTTAGCCTCAATTCCAGTCTGTGGGAAATCTATTTTGGAAAATAGAGCAAAGTTAAAGACCCTTGACAAACACAAATACCAGCCACTTTTCCAGGCTGGTTCCATTGTGTAGGAAACTCCTTGTCCATGTGAGCTGGTTTATATACTAACTTTCTAGATTCTCCATCTCCTGCTAGTTCATGCAGGTACCTCTTGGAATTACCCATTCAGATTAATAGAAACCTCCCTATACTGTCAATTTGGTCCAAAATATACATTCTGGGATAGTGAATCTTTCTTTAGAAATGGGATCCAGAGTGATTTCCACAACATCTCTATGGATTTGGGTGTTATTCCAATGACAGACATGGCCTATGAATAGTACATTTGTATGCTAAGGTGTTCTTTTGCTGACAATTTGTATTCATGGAGTGACAGCAGTCCTGTCTCACCTGAAAGATAGTGAGCTGGCTCATGGGCAAGAGAGCCTGGAAACTGAGATTCTTACAATGCTGGGCTTGCTGCCAGTGCTGCACACTCTGTGTTTTAAAAAGATCATTTTAATTTCTAGTAATATAAATACCGATAGATGTAATCCACATAAGCAAAAACTGTTTAGGATACTCATTAACATTTAAGAGTATAGAAAGGTACTGAGGCCAAAAAGCTTGAGAATCACTCCCATAGAGTAACGAATATAACTAGCTAACTAATTAACTAACTAAATAAAAATAATGCAAACAGTAAGAAACAAAAGCAGATGGTACAAATAAAAATAAATAATGATATGGTAGATTAAAACACAGCCATGTCAATGATTATATGAAATGTAAATAGACTAAGCACTCCAGTTAAAGACAGAGATTAGAACAATGGATTTTTTAAATGACAATAGTTGATGTTATTTATATGAAATACACATTAAATATAAATACATACATATATTTAAATTTAAAAAGATGGAAAATATATACTAGGTAAACAATAATCAGAAGAAAACCTCTGTAGTCATTAATGTCAGAAAAAAAGTAGACTTCAAATAAAGAGTATGAATAGAGATAGACAGAGATGTTTTATAATGATAACGGGTCAATGTATTAAATAGACAAAATAATTCAAAACTACACCAAATAACTGAATTTTAGAATACATGAGGTAAAAATTGCCAATATTAAAGGGGGAAATTGAAAAATCCATTAATGTAGGGGGAGTTTAATACCCCTTTCTTGCTTATTGAGAGAAAAAGTAGACACAATTCAGTACAAATAAAATATTTGAACACCACTATCAAACAACTTGTCTGTCATATAGAGGATAATGCCTTAAAATTACAAGATATATTTTCTATTCATGTGCGTATGAACAAGGATCAAGATGGTATTCTGGGCCATAAGCAAGTCTCAATAAATATTGAATGACTGAAATAATACAGATAATATTCTCCCACCACAAATACAAGAGTAATTTATAATTATTAATAATTCACAAATCAAAGAAGAAATTTAGAGGAAAATTGAAAAATAAAAGTACATAATTAAAAAAAACACTCTTCTTTGTGGATGAATTCCTATCAGTGTTTAGAGGAAGAAATGTAGATTTAAGTTGCTTATTAGAGAAAACGAAAAGTTAAAAATCAATGGTAGACACTTTCATCTTAAGAAGAGCAATTTGACTAACATCCCATAGTTGTTTCTTTGAAAAGATTAATAAACTAATAAGCATGTAGTAAGGTTGATCCAAAAAAAGAAGAAACAATGCAACTTATCAATTCATTAAAGAAAGAAGTGACATAACTACAGATTCAACAGAAATTAAAAGATTAATAGAAAAAAAATCAAAAATATTGATAGCAAAGAATTTATAATTAAATATCTTTCTACAAAAAAAAAAAATCAAAACAGAAACAATTGGTTTGCAGTTGGTTAAGGAAACAGAGTTTTCTGTTTAAAAATTTTGGGGTTAGTAGAAAAATGTCAGCTTGCTAGGGGGAGTGACTTTCTTTAAGCCTCTGAGGAAAAAACTTAGAACAGAAGGCAATAGTTAAAGTTTAGTCTTCTCTTCCCCCAAATCTGGGCTCTGTGTAATAGCAGATCTGTTAGGTGGGGATCCTCAGTGGGGGTCTGTTCAGATGTTGCCTTTAGTTTCTGTAGGGAAAGCAAATATCTCTGGAGCTTTACCTCCCTTGGCTATTGTTAAGGCTACTATTACTTTCTTGTTTAGCAAGTTACTTAATTACCTCTGGGGCTAGCTAGATGTCTGGAATTTCTCTTTTAAAAAAACTTTACAATTTTCCTTTATTTCCCTGCTTGGAGTTTAGAAGGACTTCAAAAAAAGAGTTAGGATGAAGGTCCTTGCTCAGCATCAATCTATCAAACATAAGAAATAAATAATGCTAATCTTACTCAAACTCCTACAGAAAATACAGGAGGAGGGACCATTTCACAAATAATTTGGTGAGCTAACAAAATCCTGATACCACCTTACAGACAAGAATTAAATTGACCTCTGTGCTTTAGCAATCCTTGGCCATCTCTCCAGGAAATTCCTCAGTAGGCATGCTGCCAAGAGGGACTCCACATGGTGAATTGTTTGTCACCACCTGATCTTCCCTTCTCTTCTCTCCCAGGCTGTTTGTTAAGATCAAAATTCTTGCTCCTTTATAGATCAAATCGAATCAGCTCTACCTTTTTCTTTCCCTCACTAATCCAAGCTATTTCCAGGCATCCTCACTTTCCTTATCTACAAAGGCCCAACCAAATGTATTCCTTAAAAATGAGCTGTCTGTCCTGCAGATGAGAAATGTCACTCCATCACACGGCAGAAGCATCTACAGTCAGATTGTATTTAAAGACTGTTTTTTAATTCCC